TTACAATAATAGCCTATATTTTGAGAATCAGAAGGATTTGGAGCGAAGTGAGGACGAATTATGAAAAGGTAAGAAAAAATACTCTCTAACAACATAGGGGCTCCAGATTTTACTCAAACTGTCACAACTTCCTCAATTTTTGACCAAACGAGCTGTCTCATGCGATAGCTCTTAAGTTAGTCTTCAAAATGAGACCAAGATCAGTCTCTGGCTAGTTTACTTTTTTAATTACAGAACAAGTCCAGGTGGTTTTCGGACACCCTATGTAAGTTTAGGAAAGGCGAAAATATATCTTTGGAGTCAAAGAACCAAATCTCATGCATGTTATCTGGAGTAAACAAACAACAATTCCACGTTGAAATATGCTTCATTTTGACAAAAATTCAGTGGAAAATGAGAGGAGATAGCGATTTGACTGAGTGATTTATTATTACGATTGTTGCAACCCGTCGTTTGTAAATCACGCATTTGACTCAGTTTTTGCAAAGGAACGCTCATTTATGAACATTTTTCGGAACCTTGTTTTGAAATCGCAATCTGAGGATTGGCAGTAACATTTTTCATGTAGAAGGTTGGCTGCCCTTTTGGGTCCTAAAAGCTTCATATTTCAAAATGTCGTTACCATCCCTATATTTCTAAGTACTCCAGTCAATGTTTCCATGCTGGAGAGGTTGGACAAAATTTGATAACTTCGAAAACTTATTTTTAAAAATATGAAAAAAAAAATGGATTTTGAAAGTAGTTTCAATGGTTTTCCGTGAAATTTCCATTCCAAAATAACCCTTGAAATTGAGCTTGTGATAAAATAAAATTCAAGATTTAAAATAGCCAAGAATTTCATGTTCGACCATAAATATCTCGTCTCACTGTGCAGCGTCAGATTAGGTGATGCAAAATGCAGCTAGGCTGATCTTTGAAATTCATAGACAAAGCTATAGAAAAATAATAAAAAAGGGATATGGACGGACCCTATTGGTGGAAGCGGGTGGTTGCAATCGACAAAGGAGGTATAATCCTTATTCTAGGTATAAGGACCACCCATTTCAACCAGTAGGATCGCTCCATACTCCCTATGTCTTCTTTGTCTATCGCTTCGTATATCAACTTCAACAATGAGCCCACTGTACACTTCATCTCCGTTTCTAAAAAGGTGGTTATTCTGTGCAGGCCATGCAGGGTGGAGGCTTTCATGCGGCAGACCACATCGGAAATTTAGCTAACCGGCGCATGAATTGGGTTAGGATCAGCAGGCAGAAAGTCCTCTCCCTGGACAAGTGCATGGCGTGGTGCGGTTGGGCTATAACCAAAAGGGCACGGGAGGAAAGGCAGAGGAATATCGACTATTCCTGTCATATGGCTTTTCAGGCGTTCAGGGATGTTTTCCCCTCCAGGGAGCGAGGCGCCTGTGCTCATATAATCGACACCTGGTGCCGTTACCACAATAATCAGTACCAGTGCACCGGCATGAACCCACACACCGACCAGATCATCTCGCTCTGGGAATGCGTCCACAACATCGATATAATGTTTCCACAACACTAGTACCAGCTCAACGGTTGGATCCTAAGGCCTTGTCCACACGAGCGCAGTTCGCGGAACTTATTCCTCGAACTTGCTCAGTTCCCGGAACTTATTCCTTGAAACGAGGCATGCTGTCCACACGGGTTCGTCCGAACTGGAACCGGAACTTCAATAAAACTATACAATTATTGCAAAATAATAGATTATTATGACCGCCAAAGTAACAAAAATAAATGTCAAGATCATATGTAAAGGACGTGAAAAACAAAAACAAGCAAATTCACATCAAAAGAAACATATTTAGAAGCTCGGAGCACGGGGGAAATTCCAGGTTTTGGAGGAATAAGTTTCAGCTCAGCAAAAAACTTGTTCCGGGAACAAGTTCCTCGAACTGAGTTCCGCGAACCGCGTTCGTGTGGACAAGGCCTAACGCATCCTTAACATCTGTACTACCGTGCTGAGGAAAACCGTCGTATGAACCTTCAGAGGTTGTCAAATTTCCTTCGATAAAACTCCGTTCCCCGGTAAACTTATACATATTTTTCTTCCAATTTTTCAAATAATTTTGTTCGCGATTTCACCCAAAATCCCTGAAAATTTCAGGATAAATATCCATAAAGTTTCTCAAATATAACAATTTTAGTGAAGAAAAGTTGGCAACTCTCGGATGTTTACACGACGTATTTCCTTAGCACGGCAGCGTAAGTTACCAATACAGAGAAAATAGAGTCCCCATTGAATAGGGAAAGTGTGTGCCCGCCAGATCTGAGGACCTAGAGGACGAAAATACGTTGACTGTAAGGGTGGATATAGACGTAATAAGTCCTACAGTCGACGTATTTTCGTCTGAGAATTCACCTTATCAGAAATAACTGGGATGTATCATTTTATAAAAATTCACCAATAAAAGCCGCTCCACAAATCATAGCCTTCGTATTTCTTCCACCGTCCTTGGTTTGACTTCAACTTAAAATCTCTGATAATGATACCAGAATGTATGGAGTTCCGCGAACATCCATTTATATGGAGCGATTTTACAGATAGATTGCATTTTGCAAAAGGGAACCAAAAGCATTTCAATGCCGCTAAGATTGTGCAACTTTCTTTACCTTGCCAATATAAACTGATCATCTAAACAAATTGTATCTTTACTCCCCTGGTAAAAATTGGCAGTAGAATCTGTGTTCCAAAATACCATAGACCTAAAGCCGACTGTAAGATTTTCAATAGCTTCCATAGCCAGATGCACAATTTTTTATAGCCTTTTATAGCCGATGGCGATTAAGCAACAGCCAGGCGATTAAGTGTATGCTAAATGTTACTAAGAACGGATGCTAGGACTTATTGAGTTTTTGGACTACCGCTCTATTTTTGGGCCGTAGTATCTTGATTTATTTTGCGCGGAAAGCTGCGTACTTTGGAAGGATGCCTGCCATTCTGAATATGTTGGAGCGCCTTCAATTTCGTATGATACTGTGCAATACCTCTGGTGTGAAATAGTTGCTTTAAGCGCCGTAGCACGCTGCGGCGTGACGGGCGGTTAGCCAGCGCGAAAAGCGCATTAGCGCCTACAAACCTAATAGGGATTCTTCAAGCATTGCGCAATGCGTGAAGTATCCCTGTTAGGTTTGTGGGCGCTAGTGCGCGCTTAACTTTGGCAGCACGCCGCTCCGCTCTGTGTTAGGCTCCACAAGTTAATCTCGCGGAGTCAGCGTTTTTCAACCCATGATTTTAAAATGTTTGCCCATCCTGTATGGATTATTCTCATTTTAATTGATGAAAAAAAATATGTATTAAAGGAAAATATAATGTGTGTTTTGTAAATATTATGGTGGTTCCGTATCAAACCTCATGATTTCCAAAGCGCACGAATGTCTACACAATTTCTTATGGCCTTTGAGAGCCAATGGCGATTAGCCCGGCTGTATACTTTTTTTATAGCTTCGTATAGCCCGGCTTTATGATTTGCTCCGCTTTCTACAGCCAGCTATATGATTTTCTATTGCCTTCTTTAGCCGGCTATAGGAATTCCTATGGTATTTTGAAACGCAGCTCCTATCGCCAATTTTTACCAGGGTCCCAATAAACCATAAATTCAAGACGAAAATTATCACTGTAAATTTAATTTTTTGCATAACTTCAGTATTTTGTTGCGAAGAATGTAAATTGTGCAATCCTAGCAACATTGGAATGCTCTTGGTTCCTTTTTGCAAAATGCAGTCCAAATTACGGTTGCTTCATTTTCCCCCTGTCTTGAACCAAATTATAGCCTGATGTTAAATTTGAGCTTCTTAAGTAAAAAAAAATTCATGATCATACATCGATGAGCATCTGCAATATTCCATGATTTATATACGCGACTAATACCAGCCTCCCCTCCCCATTACTTCCCAAGTAAGTGACGTGATTTTTTAAGAGTTACGCGAGCAGCCTCGTCAACACTGTACAGAACAACTGTACAGAAAAAGTGAGCGAAGTTTATATCTTCCAAAATTAACAAAAACAAAATTGCGTAAAATAAATTAAATTAAATTTGACAACATTCAACATTTCACGAGAATAACCCATGAAGTTGGATTTCCTTCGCTCATATTTGATGTTTCTAAAATAAGTATCTTCAGGTTTCAATATCTACAGACAATAGAAATTTGTATCTGCACTGAAAAAAAATTCTCGGCGTTTTTACCACGGTCCGTTGGTACCTTTACCATCTCACTTTTTATTTTACCAATTATTGGTAATTTTACCGAGACAGACTGGTAAGCTTACCTAAAAACCGGTATTTTTACTATTTTTTTTCTGATAAGAATACCACTTTTATTGGTAATCAATTCCCGGTAACTTTGCCATTTTATTTCGGTAATTCTACCACAGTTGATAAAAAATATTGGCGTTTTTACCGAGGTCCAGTAAAATTACCGAGAAAGTTCAATAATTTTACCGAGATTTCTCGGTAAAATTATCAATTCCATAAATAGTAATTTTACCAAGAAAAAACTGGGATCAAATAGAGCCCTGAATTTTTGGTGATTTTATCCTTTTCTTAGTAAATGCACCAAGATTTTTTTTCAGTGTGTTTTACACACAGGCTTTTTAAGCCTCTCATTGGTCATAGTTTCAGCATTTCAAAAGCTGTAATTTTTTCAGTTTGGTTAACTTTAATGCCGAATTTATTTATTTTTTTTTTGTATCGCCGAGAAATCGTGAAAATTGCAACTGAATTCCAAAAAATTGCGATTCTTGGTTGAAGAATGCTACTTGGGATGGTCTCTACCCTGCAGATGCAGAACCTCCCGCTGCACTTTTAAAAACAAGTCAATCAGTCGACAATCAGTTGTCTTTTACAATCAGTCTCGCGTGGGCGTTTCCTTCGCCGCGAAGATCTTAAAAATACTTCGGTTTCGCGTTCCATTCCGACACGTACGCCAACCGGTTATTTCAAAACACAGAAACAGTCAGGTCTCAATCGATAGTAATCAGTGAAGAAACAGTTAGTGAGGAGGATTCTCCTACTGCCGCTCAAGCCGCGACGAAACGTCAAAATAGTAGCAGAAATATTTGTGTCTTTTAAAGTTGTTAAAGCGCGGCGGGGTACAAATTTTCAGTTTTTTTGTAGTTTCAAGCGACAAGAGTGGAAGACTAATAATTAAATCTTGCTTGAAGTGTTTCTACAGATGTATATTTTCCTTGTCTAGACCTGTGGACTTGAAATAAGCTGAAGCTCTTGACAGGTTAGTAGATCGCCCCTGTAATAACGTTTAGTTTTTGTTTTTTTTTTTTTGAAAAATTAGGGGTCCTGGTGAATAACGCTTCTTCTTTCTCAGATTTTGTTTATTCTAGATGTAAGAACCTATTACTAGTGTTTTTCGGACTCCAGTGATTTTTATTTTCTGCCCTAGAGCGGTACTCGAATTAGGGTTATGCGCTTTTACCGCGATTTTTTATACTATTATTTTGGTATTATTCATTTACTGAACAATCAGTGAAACTTTAAAAGAGCCGATCATATTTAAAATAACGTAAGTACCACCATTGTTATAGGATCCAAAAAATGAGCGCTTCTTCAGACAGGGATTCGCGGTTCAGAAATTATTTGTTGCGGAATTAGCAGGCGGCAGCCTCACCGGGAAAATAAAATTCAATGCTAATGTCATTTAGGGAAAAGCCTCCGAAAAACACCCGTTTTTGTTTAAAAAAATCTATTGCGTGCAAAACGTGCAGTCGAAAGGCTCAAATTTTAACGCGTGAAGTCGCACGAACAATGTGAAGACACATAAAAAATCCTGAAAACCACTCCTTAGCGCAATCTGCGTAATTCGAAACACGTTTTCTCAATTTTCCTGTTTCAGCGGGCAGACTTTCCCTGGGGCATGCATGCAGGCATGCTAAATAAGTTTGAAATAGTGACTTCCCGGCCAAATTATGCATCATTGAACCATACAAATATAGTTCGCAGACTCATACTTAGGCCGACAAGTCACTTTTGTCAGGAAGTATAGATCTTGAGACCATTTTTTATGCACTGAAGAAAAGTTACGGGCCATATGGACCTGCCGTCATTTTAGGGCTCAGAGGCCGAAAGTTCCAGGTGCTGAAGCCGTAGCTTCGACTGCTCCGGGTGCTTCGCCCGGAACACGGACGGTACGGTACGTCTATATAGCCGGTAAGAACGTTTTCCACGGCCGGAGTTTTTTTTTTCGGTGTGGATCTCACAGTCAACGCATTGTGAATGCATTCACTGGCGCGGCCATTGGGCTTACACAGGCAAAGGGGAGAGAGAAAACCTATCCCGATTTCATACACAATTTCGCAAACTTTTTCTCCAATACGATTTCAATCGTTTTCAAGCGTTTGTTTTCTTCGTCTTTCCTTGTTTAAAAAAAAACAAACGCTTTAATTCTATTAAGAACTTGCGTCAGAAAGGTTTTTTTACTGTTTATGAGATTGTTCGTCTATTTACGTTAGATTTTTTCAACTCTCTCTCTCTCTCTCTCTCCCTGACCGAACTTGAAAGTAAAAAAAAAAAAAACTGCCCGCAGACACGACGAAGAAAAACCGTGTGACAAATTGCGCTGATTGCACGCTAAAGAGTAGATTTCAGACAGTTTTCATGCGCCCATTCTGATTTTCCCGTAATTTTACGCGTAAAAAGTCGCAATTCACTTGGCTGTATCTCGTGCACGCAACTACAATGGACCAATTGGAAGTCTTTCTGCCAAACGGAACTATGTGGATTAAGACATGGGCCCTGAAACCCATAAGGATATATGCATAACAGGGCTCGCGTCGTATAATGCACATAGCTCCGTTCGGCAGAAATACGCCCCATTAGCGGCACACATTCTGAATAATTGCTTATACCTTGAAAATGAAATGACACTATTCGGTGATGATCCATTAAACCTCATTCTTAAAATTTTGATGTTCACGAATTGTCGGAAAAAAACATGAAAATCGCACGTTTCCACTTGATTGGTGGCATACTCAGAAATTAACCGAAACTGACGTCATTTGAAAAATAATCGGCTCATTTGCCGATTGGGTCTACGTGATTTTTCTTTCGTTTTACGAGTAGGAAGTTTGAATGATATTAAAGCAGAGGATTTTAGCCTAATATCTTATCTAGGGACGATTTTATTTTGAAAATCCCTAGATTCGGATGAACTTTGATAAGGGAACTTGTTTTGAGATACTTTATTTTCGCTAATGGTGGACACTGAAGTCCATAATATTTTGCAAAATCGCTGCTTTGATCTCCTGCTTTTCCGACTTGCGCAACACTGGCGTGGCGTGCCTAGAGTACCTGTATAGGGAGAGTACCGACAGATCGGTTCATGGAGGGCTTAGGGCCCGAAAGTGCAGCCACCCTTCTAACCAACTTCTAACGCACAAAATTTCACTGCCGCAGTCTGCAGATTCCAATTCTAACCAAGATGGCCAAGAATGTACAGAAATGAGCGTTCTTCCGCGAAATTAAGTAAATTTATACAAAAACTGAGTCAAACACGTGCTTATAATAAAGGACGGTTCGTAACAATAGTATCAGTAAATCGCTCTGGATAATTGAAATTCATAGGTTGGCTGCCCTTTTGGGCCCTAACTTCATTCGCGGAGGCATCGGTGAAGGCCTGATGGACTTTCGGAGTTTCAGATCTGTCGGTACTCTCCCTATACAGGTACTCTAGGCGTGCCCTGCGATACATCGATTGATCCACCATTTAAACAGATGAAGAAGGATCGATAATCAGGGTGTTGACGATTACTACTATCACACCTTGTTAGTCGATTCTTTTACCATAGCTTCAAATGGAGAAATATCGGTAATCGATCATTCGCACGCTTCGCCACTGAGCACGGATGCGCAATAACCTCATAATAATATTTGTCTTTATTTTAGTTGGATCAAAAGAAGAAAGGTAGGCCACTAATGGAAATGATTCATTCTGCCTTAATTACTGGGGCCAGTCGAGGCATTGGTCTGGAATTCGTGAAACAATTATTGACGAATAGCTCTTTGCAAGCCAAAATCATCATTGCGACATGTCGGTCACCAGAGGAAGCCACGGTAAGTTTTTAAAAATTCGAGGCTAACGATGAATTTCTCAGCTCTTTGAAAATATTATCTACTACACTCACTCATCTTGCGTATTACGTTTCATACGGATGTAGTAAAAGTTAATTTGTGATCAAATAAATTAATGCAAAATAAAATCATGCGGTAAAATTTGGAAAATGGACAATGTTTAATTGTATTTTAATGGTATTAATGCCACTCTCTACTATCTCTACAAAATGAACTCTGGCCTGTTTTGCTATAAGTAGGGGGGTAGCTGGTAGATACTGATGAAATGCATACAATTGCGATTTCCGGTATCTCTCTTTCCTTAAATCTTTCCCTTTTACCCAGATGCCTCATTCTATAAATAGCTGTCTAATCATAAGTTACTCCCTCTTGTAAAAATCTTTTTTGTTTAAGTTTTTCGTTTTTTTTTTTTTTTTTTTTTTTTTATAAAGGAACTTTAAAGAGACACAGAAGGAAAAAGATTATTTAATGAACAGGGAAACGTTGTAAGAAATAGTCGAGCACCAATTTTTAACGTTTTTCCCCCTCTTCGGTTCGGTCGGTCTTAATGTTCGCGATCTACGTTCCGAGTCTTTCGTTGCTTTTTAATGAAACAAATAACCCCCTCTCCCTCTTCCTCCCCCTCCCAAAAAAATAAATAAATAAACGAATACACTGCCGTGCTAAGGAAGAACGCCGTATGAACATTCGAGAGTTGCCAAATTTCCTGCAATAAAATGTTTGTTTTTTAGGAAAGTCATGAGTATTTTTCCTTGAAATTTTTCAGGAACTGCAGGTAAAATTGCGAACAAAATTATCTGAAAAATTGGAGGGAAAATATTTATAAGTTTACCGGGAAATTTGTGTTTTATCAAAAGAAATTTGGCAACGCCTGAAGGCTCATAGGGCGTTTTTCCTTAGCACGGCAGTACAGTTATTGCATCTTAAAACAGGTTAACAAATCACTTCAACTCACAATGTAGGAAAATGTACTTTTCATGGTGTGTAAAAAACACAGATACATAAAAAGTACTACCTCTAAAATGATAGCTTCTCTGCACTAAAAATGGACGGAGTTAAACAGAAAGGAACCAAGCCACATCGGGATCAAACCGAGAAAAAGAGGTTTAAAGTTTGGCTCCTGCATAAGACTCAATGTAAAAGATAAACTTCAAGTTCAATTTCTGCAAAATTTGCTCCAACAAAAACTTTGAATTTTTGGCAATAGATAGTAGAGCAGTGGTTGAGTTCATAACCACTCATAACTCAATTTTTTCCAAAATGTGGGTTGGTTCCTTTCTGCTTAACTAAGTCCAAATAATCCTGTTCCATTTATTAACATGCCTCTCACGAGAAAAAATACTCACCCATTAGCTTTCCGATTTTTTTTACATTTTGAGAGTTATGCGATAAAAATCCACCATCATACATATATTTCAAAAAAATTTCCCCCTTTTTTTTCAATTTTGAAGAGGGAATCTGTCACACCAACAAGTCATGGAAAGTGGCATGATTTTGAATTTCCAAAAATTTGACAGTGAGAGAAATTGTCAACGCCTGCCAAACGATTTTAATTTTGAAGTATTTAGTCGATGTGCTCCTCGCACTATCTATTATACACCGGTTAAAAAAAACACATTGGATCTAGATCGAGTCCAGACTCTTAAAAACATCGACAAGAAAAAAATACTCTTGATTCAATCAGATTTAAGCTTAAATCAAGAACCCAGCCTCTGAATTTGAGCGGATTTCTTTTTGATTTTGATTCATTCAAGAGTATTTTTTCTTGTCAATGTTTTCAAGAGTCTGGACTCAAGATCCAATGTGTTTTTTGCCCGGTATATTTGTGAGTCAGTATATTTCAGGTGACATTAGCTGCAACTGATTCATTGCTTCTCGGTAGTTGCAAGCATGTGCAATCGCACTTGTAATGAGTATATCTAACTGACAGAATATACAACGATTATTTGAATGTTGAACTCGGAAGTTAATAAGCCTTGAAATTATATAAGTACATCGCGTACATCGAATAACTTACTCTGTGGTCTCAAATAGACCAACATTGGTGAAAATCCTCACTTACAAGTCATGAGATCGGAGCTGTCATCCCTCGGATGACATGTCGGAGTCATGCAATGAGCAAATATTACCAGTATAATTTTTTGAAAGTTATCGATGCAATATTCATCATAACAAGGAATAAATATGTACAGTTTTAAACATGAAGTCTTGACCATTTCTTTCACCGTGTGTATAGAACTGGTTGCATTAATACACTTTTCTTATTATTTTAGGCTTTGCAGGAGTTGAAAAAATCCAGCGAGAGAGTTCATATTTTGAAATTAGGTGAGCATACATTTAAAGATGAGTTTCTTGCAACCTCATGGTCCTGAATTTATAATAAGAAGTTGGAAAAAAATTTCATTTCACGTTGCAACTTGCACTTTTAGCGCAGGACTGTATAACCTCGTGCAGTGAGAAACCCAAAGTTTTGTCCGACTTAAAAGTAACGGAAGGGAGCCTAGACTCCCTGAATAGTTATCAGCGTTGAACGCTTCTTTGACCAAAAACTGATAAAAAGTCTCTAAATAATATTGTCGTTTACACCGTAAACAATGATCTTACATTTAATCTCTGCTTCACATTGATTTTTATTTTATACAGTAGACTCTGGATTATCCGGATTAATTGGACTGCATTTTGCAATTTGGACCTATAGATTCTGGCTCATCTGAAGAAACGCTTATATGCATAGGGAAACTAATGGCACATACGTTGTTTTTAAACCGGGCTAGAATTTATAGTTCCAAATTGCAAAATGCAGTCCAATTGGTGCCGGGCCCGATCCGGATGAAAAAGAAATCCGGATAATAATAGTAAACACAAACACCACCAACCAACACCACAGTATTCTTATTATGTATACATCATGTACATACCAACACGAATTTAAAAGGTTACCGCCAAACTGAACGACTCAATGGTGATTGTGAATGGTAGCCCACAACGATAAATTACAATACAACGATTAAAGCGCGCAATGCGTGAAGTATTCATACAGTCTTGTAGCCGCTAATGTGCGTTTTAGGCTAACTAACCAACTGCACTGCGTTTAGCGCAATGCGAGAAGTATTTATGCAATCTAGTAGACGCTAATGCGTTCCACGCCGACCTCACTGTTTCGCGCAATGCGTGAAGTATTCCTTCAGCCTTGCAGGCGCCAATATGCCTTGCGACCGCTTCTCCGCGGATCCGCTCACTTATCGGAATGCGTACGTAGTTACATGGTTGCAAAATCGATCCGGATAATACGAAGCCGAATAATCCAGAGTATACTGTACTTGAAAGCGACAAATTCCTCAAAGTTAGCAAAAAATGTAGAGGAAAGAGACAGGGTGAGCCTGGAGCCTTGAAATTTGTTGAACTTTCCTACATTTTTTCTCAGTTTCTAATAAGATCTCAAATTCACGCCTCCCGTAAAATTTCTTTTATTACAAGTGTGCTCGGTTTAAAGTGCAGTCATCGGTAGCATTTAAAGCACATTTTGCGGTGCGAAACAAAACTTACTAGCCCTTCGACGAAAGTTCCTAACTTCGTAAGAAAACTGATGGCACATATTTTGCTTCAAAAATAAGCGAGAAATACCTAGTGTTTTCTTTGCAAGATGCTTCAGTCTAACCGCAGTTAACTATCTGACAATTTTACAGACGTTACTAAGTTTGACACGTACGATGAACTTGCGCTCAATGTTGGAAGCATTGTTGGCGACAAAGGATTGACATTACTCATAAATAATGCTGGTATTGCAGAGGCATCCTTAAAAGATTCTTTAAAGGATATCACTCCGGAAATGTATTTATCGACTTTCACTACTAACAGTGTTGCTCCCGTGATATTAACACAGGTCAGAATTTTATTCAACCTCAACTTTACTTAAATTTTAATTATGAGATCTATGATAATACACATTTAGCATTGTGGCGTCAATGAGGAACGATAATAAGCCCCGCAAAAAAGAAATGGAAAATAGAATGGGTCAGTTGCACTGGTCTCAGAATCATGTTCTGATGCTGAATTCTTGTAGATCATCTAAAAATAATACGAACTGTCCAAACAGCAACTTTCTACGTTAAATATTAAAAGAGATATCGCCCTTTGAAAAGTTGGGTTTTTGACGTCATCCATCGCGGTATAGTGAAACTCTTCGTTTCTTCCACATTGCTTTCATCCGAGATTCACGTTGAGTAACCAGTCCAAATGCATGTCACCCTGACTGATGAAAGCATGGTGGAAGAAACCAAGAGTGTCACTGCCGTGGTGGCCGTCAAAAACCTTATACTTTTCAAAGTGCGATATCTCGGCTGATATTGAATGTAGAAAGTTGCTACAGCGATTTTTTTGGCGCGTCAAAAATTCAGATTCTTACTCGTAGATTTTATAGAAGAATACCCTTTTGTATGCTCGAAATGAATTTCAAGCTGTTTCGATTATTTTTCGCTAACGCAGGAGTAACGTTGGTTTGAAATTGGGGATTCCAACGCCTCATGAACGAGACAGATTAGAATAATTTTGAAGAGCTCTTTCTTGAAATTTCATTTTTTTAAAAAATAATTGCAAACCACCATAGGCTCACACATAACGATGGTGAAACTCCCAAACCAAGTATCTCGAGTTTCGGTGTTTTAAAATCTCTGCTCCTATTTTATTTTTTAAGAAGCAAACAGATTAATATCATTCTTAGAAATTATCACAGAATATTCGTCGCACATAGAAGAAAAATCATGACAGTTTTTCAGACTTGCCGTTGAATTGTTTTGCATTTAAAAAATGAAGTGTGAAAGGAAGTCTGCAACGTCGCAAAACGAGATACGTGGTTTGGGAATTTCACCTTGGATAAACAGATTGGCCTTTCTGGGCGTTTTTTTTGAAAAAAGAAAAAAAAAACAAGCAGTGAACTCCAACACAATGTGTTGATAAGGCGCGTCATTAACTCGCACATATCAACCCCTTTAGTTTTCATTTACAGAGATTTCAAAATAGGCAACTAGCACAACAAGAGAATTCATACGATCCAACACTGAGAGGTCAACCACGCACCTTGACGAGACCGTGTATTGTGAATGTAAAAAGCCATTCGAACGAGTTTAAGTTTTTTGATCTGCCCCAAGCAAGACCTTATCAGATTCTTAAAGAAAAGTGCTAAGTAATAATTTAAGCGAAGAAAGAAAAAATTTTGTCGAACTCCTTAAAGATAAAGTCGATTTAAAGGTATTTTGGGGCTAAAATACCTAAATCACCGGTATTATAAATCCCGTTATATTATTGAAAAGACATTGACTCGATATAAATGCAATTGCATTAGATATGTTTTGATTTTGTTATTTTAAACGTATTTCCATGCAAAGAAGTTCAACCATGACCATGCTTTATTCATTCATGAATTGAAAGTAAGCAATCTACATCCCGAAAATCTACC